GGTAGGGAGGGGCGTCGGCGTCGGCGTCGGCGTCGGCGCGCGCGCGAGGAGAGGAAGGAGAGAGGCGCGGACGGACGCGCGAGGCTTTGTTGGCACCCCCAACGGACAGGTCGATCCGCGCCCGGCGTCGCGGTCGCGGTCGCGACGCGGGCGGGCGTCGTCGCGCGCACCTGGAACGTGTTCGCCCATCCCGGGAGCGTGTTCAGCGCCTCGAGCTGGTCCTCCGGGATCGTGACTTCGCGCGCGAACGCGACCGAGTCCCACGCGGTCGTCGCGGACGGCATCTCGCGCAGAGTACCGCCGCTCGGCCGGTCCCAGAGGCTACTGGTCGAGTCCTCTTCTTCGAACGGCCGGCCGGGTCGTCCGCGGCCTCGAACGCGGGCGCGCGACGCGTATCCGAGGTTGGCGCCTCCCTCGCGCGGCGCGCTCGCGACGAGATGCGCGCTCGATGTCGCGTGCTCGACGTCGCGCGCGCGAGTCTGAGCGAACGAATACAAATTCTTCTCGTTCGTTGCGCCGACGCGACGCGTTGTTGATGACTGCCGACGAAATCATCAGTTCGCCCCGCGCGCGCGTCGACCCCCGGACGCGCGCGACGATGCCCCGCGAGGCCACGGTCGCGACGCTCGCGCGGTCCAAGACGCCGCTGTCGCACTTCCCCGAGTTCGCCGCGCTCAAGGCGGAGCTCAAGGAGCTGCGAGACGCCGCGGAGCGAAAGGAATCGCGCGAGGCCAAGGCGCTGAGGCGTCGGCTGACGGAGCAATCGGAGCGCCAGGCTGCGCTCTCGGACGCGTTCACGTCGCTCTCGGACGCGATACTCGACGAGATGGAGACGCTGAAGCGCGAGATGCGCGAGCTGCGCGCGGACCAGGAGGCGACCGCGCGATGGCGACGCGCGACGACGCGCGACGTGAGGGCGCTCGAGGAGGAGGCGCGCGCGTCCGTCGTCCGTCGCGGAGCCGAGGAGATGGGGGAGAGCAGCCCGCCCGCGAGCCGTCTGGAGCAGCTCTGCGGCGTGGAGGACCGCGTCGAGGCGCTGACGCGGCGCGTGGAGGCGTGCGAGGCGGAGGCGCGAGACGCGAGCGCGCGGAGGGTGGACGACCTGGACCTGACGCGCGCGGCGTTGGAGGCGGCGCGGCGAGACCAGGCGCGTTCTATTATCATGACTGGTTCCCGTGCGACCGCGTCGGCGCGGTGCACGCCGTTCCTTGAGGACTTTTGCCGGCGCGCGTTTCTCTCCGCCCACCCCACGGTATCATCGCCCGACCGCGATGCCTTTCAACTCCGCTTCTGACGTCTTTCAACTCCACCCCGACGTCGCTTTGAACGATGGAATGAACGGCTCTCAGCGCGTCGTCGACGCCGGCGCGAGGCGCGCGGAGCGGCGCGCGGACGAGCTCGACGAGCGCTTGCGGGCGCTCGCGGCGTTCGCGGAGGAGACGCGCGCGGCGGTCGTGGAGCAGGGGCGGTACAGCGAGTGCGTGGGGGAGTCCGTGCGGGTGTTGCGGCGCGCGATGGCGACGGGGGGACGAGGAGAAGGCGACTGAGGCGTCGAATCGGATCGAATCGAATCGGATCGAATCGAATCGAATCGTATCGAATCGAATCGAACGTCGTCAGTCTCCGATCGTCGCAACACTAGTAGTCTACACCCGGCCGATATCGCTTCACCGCTCGTCACTTCTTCCCGTCGTCCTTGTCCAGGTCGAGCCCTTTATCGTCCAGGTAGATGTTCTCCGCCATCTGCCAGATCTGCAGGATGTTATCCTCCGCGACGGACGCGACGACCATGTCGTCGTTTCCGTTCCACGCGAAATCGGAGATCTTGCTGGTGTGCCCGCCGTGGATGAACATCAGCTCCGGCGGGCCGTCCTCCGCGTCCTCCGGGGTCTGCTCGTCCCCGATCCTGCTCAGATCCCACACCATGAGCCTCCTGTCCGCGCCGCACGACGCGAGGTACGTTTCGTTCTTCGGCGACCATCCGATCTGGAACACCTCCTCGGTGTGGTTCGAAAACGTGTGCAGACGGTTCGACAAGTTCCGAATGTCGAAGATCGCGACCGTCTGGTCCGCGCTCCCGGTCGCGAGGACGTACTCGTTGAACGGGTTAAACGCGAGGCAGTTCACCTCCGCGTCGTGCGCGTTGACGCTCTGCAGCGTCGCCTCCTTCGCCGGCTTCCGCGTGTCCCACAGCAAAAGCTGCTTGTCGTCGCCGACGCTTCCGAACATGTGCTCGTGCGTGGAGTGCCACGCGACGTCCTCGACGACGCCGAGGTGCCCTTGGTAGATTTGCAGCGCGTCGACCGTCTTCGCGCCCTCCCCGAGCGGGCCTTGAACGTCCCAGAGGCAGATCTGCGCGTCGTCGCTGCCGGAGAGCAGACGCCCTTCTTTGAACGGCGACCACGATAAGCCGTACCCCTCGGTCTTGTGCCCTCTCAGGCGGAGATCGGGCGCGCACCCGCCCTCCGCGGGAGGTTTCGACGGGTGCTTCGCGTAATCGAACAAGTACACGTCCGCGGAGACGGTCTTCGTCGCGAGAAGGAACGGGTTATGCGGGCAGTACCTCGCGCGGTTCACCTCGCCGTCGTGGTTTATGAGCTGCGTGACTTGGACCTTTCCCGCGGCGCTTCCGAAGCCGCCCACCTCGCCTCTCTCGTTCTCCTGGCGGCTGTCGATCTCCGCGTCCTCGAGAGGGAGCTGCGTTTTGTGAAGAAGGTTGGGGAGGGAGGGGAGGGGGGTCAGATCTCGCGTTCGTTCGCCGATTTAAAAAAAGACGCGCGGCGCGGCGGGCCGTGCCAACCCTACGGAGGGAGGCCCGCGCGCGGGATCGACGCGATCGACGCGAGAGGCGGCACCGCGCGCGCGCACCTGCACTTCCGCGATCATGAGATAGTTCTGCTCGTTCTCGCTCGTGTGCGTCCCCAGGATGAGCTTCTGGACGCTGTAGTCCTTCCCGCTCGGCTCGACGCGATCGGGAAGCCACTGCACGGTGAGCGACGGCCACTCCAGCGCGTGCGTGACGACGAGATCGTACAAGAACGGCGTGTTCTTCTTCCATATCTTGTACTCCTCGGAGACGAGCCTCTCCTCGAGCTCGTCGGGGAACTCATCGTCTTCCTTGCCCATCGTGATCGTGCCGTGTGCGTGCGAGCGCGGCGGGATCGATCGAGTGACGACGCGTCGAGACGCGAGGACGACGAGAGAGAGAGGAACCGCCGGCGGGTTCAAAAACCAACTCGAGCTCGAGTGATTGGTATCGATAACGTCGAAATAAAACGCAGTCTCGTCGTCGGCCGGCGCCGGCTCGCCGCCGACCCACGGCCGCCTATTCGCCGTCGCCGACGCCGTCCCCCCCGCCCCCGCGCGCCCTCTCATCCCTCCGCCGCCTCCGCGCCGACGTCGCCGCGTCGTTCACGCCCGGCACTACGGTCCCCCCTCTCGTCTGAGGGTCGTTCCATACAAAAAATGTTCATCGGTCAGTTGAAAGGGGATGCGATCAAATGTTGAAACCGAGCGGTGGGTCACTTTTGTATAGACGCACCTGATCCCCGCGCGGCCGCGGGATGGGCTTCACGAGCGCCCTCGCCACCGCGCGCTCCGTCGCGCGCTCGTCGTCGTCCGAGTCCAGAAGCTCTCGAACGCGTCTCCTCTGCTCGTCGTTCCCGGCCGCGTCGAACTTGATCCGCGCGGTCGGCGTGAGCACGAGCTGCACGTACGCGACGGCGACGAGAAGGAACGCGAGCGCGACGAGTTGCGGGACCAAGAGGCTCGCGTCCATCGGCGACGGCGCGTACGGCGCGGCGGCGGTTG